CCCCAAAACCCCAAAACCCCAAAACCCCAAAACCCCAAATATTTGTATATCAATGGAAATCGAATAAATTAGTTTGTGCTTATATATTTTCTAATAAATTATACTTCAGATTCTTCGTGATTAGTTAAGCCAGAGGTTAACTCTCTTGGTATTCAGGATATCTTCAATGGAGTCAAACTCCTTCATATATTCTTCATTAAGATTCTTAGTGTCCTTCTTTTTAGCCTTTTTTAAGAATGGGACTTTATATGTTTCCAAACAGTAGTTGAAAAAGAAACATCTGTACATACAAGAGAAAAATTCATCTCTGGCCTTGTAGCTGTAGGAGTACATCACGGCTCTGGAAGCAGAGAAATCAATGTTCTCGAGGAAGAGGTCTCCCTTCTTGTGTCTGTGGCTGAACAAAACTTGCTTTAGTGCAACTCTGAATTCCCTTTGCTGCTCTTCAGTGAGACTAGCATATTGTTGATCAAAGTGTTCATCAATGAATTCACTGAGGTATTTTTCCATTTTCTCCGCCTTTTTATTTTGATCTCATCTGAGATTCATAAATCTCTTAGTATATTTAGCAAAACAATCTTTGAAGTAGTTAAAAAACGCTCTGTAGATGTTCCTTCTAAGTATAAAAGCCCGAGGTGGTTTCTTCAACACTGTTGTAGGCACTTGGAATTCAGTTTTCTTCTGGCTCTTTTTGCACTTTCCAGGCGGGCAACTACAGCATTTCTGGACTTCTTTAACTGGAAGGAATCCATTCTTGTTATCAATTTTGATCTTGAATTGATTTGGTGCATCACCATTATAAATATGCATGTCCTGCATGGTACTGGAGGTATCAGTAAGACATTTTCATAGATCATCCATGGAAAGACAGCAACTGCTGACTACTCAACAGATGCCATTATCGATATCTTTCTTCTCATAGGCGGGCACTAGTTTAGCCTTAATCTTTTTCTCTAATCCCTATAGTTAATATGATATGAAATCCAGCTGTATAGCGAAATTACTTCTTTAATATCTCACACTCAATTATCCTCTTTGAGCATATCTTCAGCTTCCTTTATAGAACCATTCGGAATTCTTTGGGTTGATAGGTTAATGTCAGAATCTTTCTCTAAATTATTCTGGTAGTTTTTCAAAGACTCTAAATAATGCTCTTTGGTTCCAATCTCGCTCTGAATAGTTTGATCGACTAAAATTAGCTGAGAATTAAGATTTTTTAACTTTTCAAAAACACCAACACAAAACCCCTCTGAAGCTTCATAAAGGGTTATAAATCCTCTCCTAAGCAATCTTCTCAAGGCTCTTGTACCCAACCAGTAATGAAAAGAAACTTACTCTGTCTGAAACTTGCTGCATTCAGTCCCTTATTATTCTCTGTAATATCAAAATTGATTTGAGAGAGTGAAGCATTCGACTCTTTCTCACTTTGAAAAATGAAGTTCAGTTCCTTATGACTGCTCATCTTTAATATTATATAATTATATGGGGTTTTGGGGTTTTGGGGTTTTGGGGTTTTGGGG